CAGGTCTGTCAGGCCGTGTATGCGATGTGCACCACTTATGCGGTCACCAATATGTCGTACAGGTCTGTTAGGCCGTGTATGCGCTGTACACGTCCAATACGGCCTACTATATGTCGTACAGGTCGCTCAGGCCAGGTATGCGCTGTACAAGACTGTTAAGCCTCTATTCGGTGAACAAGACTTTTAGCACACTTTTTAAATACAATTTTAACTACAATTTAAAAGTTAACTTATTTCATATGAAAATATTTATTGCATTATAAAATATAGTAACACATTACATATAGACAACACATAACAAACATTACAGTAACAAACATTTACAGACAAAACATTTAACACAAAATCAATGACAAATAATTACTTATAGAGTATCTATTTATATACGTTTAACTGTTAGTATTGAGTAAGTATAATAATTTTATGCACATAAAAAGAAACAAAAATGCTTACAGAAATTTTTTATGTAAACCTATTTTCAAATAAAACAAACTAAACTTTAACTGGGAATCTTGAAAATATAGCCAACACCTTACAACCAAGGTTTATGCAAAAAATGCATGTTATATGCAAACTGTTGTAGAAGTATTAACAAGACAAAGTATATGTATTAAATATAGACATTTACATAAGATTAGCTCATGAATACCTCAATATGAATGTTAACAATGGGTTTGATATATAAGTTATGACGATTATATAATATATGTTATGAGAAGTAATGTAGCGGGACTTCTGGTGATCGGTGGTTAGAAGTAATGGTATGAATAGAAGCGTATGTTTTTACACAATGATATGAATGACACGGATGTGTTATGGTTAGCGTTAATTACAATTAAATGTGTTTAAACATAGTTAAGAGTAATTGTTGTACATGTGGTTAGAACTGGATATTGAGTGCAATGTTTGTTCAAAGGCTTATGTATGAGAAAGACTTACAATGAAGGCAAAGGTATACAACGGATATTTGGTTTGAATGTCTATGAATATGAATATATGTGAGAACTGTTCGGTGTTCGGGACTTGTGTTTCGTTACAAAATTGTTTTAATTAAAAGTATACAAGTATTTGAACACAAGAATTGTAAAATTAACTGAAATTATAATTAAATAAGTTGGTTTCGTATAAAAATATTAAATGAAATGCAATTGTTTTATACAAATAAAACATAGTTTAAGAAAATAATTAATTCGATGTTGAGATCATAGATGTTATGCAATAAGTTTTAACAACAGTTAACATGTTTTCAAATCAATGAAACATATTTTGAAACAATTTGTGATCAGATTATTGACAGCCATTTCACTCATGTCTTGTTCCCAGTCTTCAGTATCGCCGGTGAGAGTAATGCCACGGATTTGTCTCAATCCAGACAATGATATCAACGACTCGTCGCTGATATTCACGTACTTTGCGTCCAAATACTGAAGAATCGGTAAATTGTGGTCAACGATAAATGAATCGGTATTTCAGTACTACGGTGGCCTTTGCTATTGTAAATAATTAACTTTATTACTAAACAAATTGAGAAATTGATGCAAATTAACGAAAAAATCATTTCGTTATTTAGTTTTGAAACTTATTTTTTCAGTATTTATTGTTTGCAATCAATACTTGTTTAAGGTTTAAAATGTTTTGGTACATAATTAGTGCATTTCCATTGAATATGTAATGAAACTAACGGTTAATTTGCAAATGATAATGTTCAAATAATGCCAAGAGTGCACCCGGGAATTATTGTTATAAATCGATAGTACACTCTGAAAGAAGTACTGTAGTATAGTTCATTTGGCCATACGACCTCGGGTTTGGCCGCAGTGACCACTTTAATCGGCAAAATTTTGACAATCAAATCTTTTATTTTATAAATAAGCATATCATATTATATATCAATAGAAAGGTATGGATGAGTAGAATAGAGATCCGAAGGAATTTCTCAAATCTGACATAATCAATAAAAGTTATATTAAAATTAAGAAATTTAGTATCAGTTATGTACGTTTTTAATAGTGAATAGCGTAATTACTGAACATCATTTATATCAATTTCAATTATGCTTACAATGATAATTAATTTTGCAAATTAAAAAAATATATAATTTTTTAATATAAAATTTTTGGCATTTTATCTATTTATATTGAACTTTATCCTTTACACAAATAACTGGAGTATATATACACCGACAGTATAACTATAATTAGATTATACGCTAAACAAGCGCTAATTGCATGACTATTAGGTGTTGTCGTCATTGCCTGATCAATAATCCTATCCTCGAGACCAGTGATTATCGGCGAATACTTCTTGACATAATCGATGATCACATCGTAATCGAGATGTTTTTGTGGTGTGAACTGAGTCTTGTTAATCATTGTATAGTTGTCGCCGCCGTTTACCAGATATTCAGAGATAGCGATTGAATAGGTTTTGCTGAGATCAAGGTCTTCGTAGGCCGGGCTCTGACAGTCACCACATCTCACTCTAACTTTCTTCAGACGATTTCCTTTTGGGAGTCGAGAGTCAAACTCATACCGAATGCCCGACACCTGCAGAAAGCCTCCCAATTTGTACTGAGAGGCCGAGTGTTTAAGAATTTGCCACAAAGAGTATCCGGTGGTCCGGAGAACCCCCAGGGGATTACCGAAGGGGGCGGTGGACATCACGCTCTTTATCGTAATGTTTCCGGAGTTGATTGTTGTCCGGACGGCGCCGCCGTTCACGACAGTCATAGGAACCGCATTCCAGCCTTTCTGTTGCACTGTCTGTGTGCTCAAAAAATGGGTGACAAACGCGTCGGCCATTAGATTACCGCAATTGCATTCCTTCATCAGACAGCCCGACGCATCCAACACTACATAACTGTAACCAATATTTTGTTTGTAGTGATCGTCGATCTCTTTGGCCATCTCTTGCACTTCTGCTAACACTTTCGGATCTGTTATAAAACACAAATTATTAATTAAAAACTTTAAATAAAATATTGTGTCAAAAATCAATACTTTCTTTTGTATTGCTGTCCAAAAGTATAGGAGTTCCGGAATAACTGGTGATTAGGCCGTTGTCATCGAATACAACGTCCAGTTTCCCGAGATATTTGCCGTAAGCAAAGGCCTGAACCACAAGTGTTTTACCCTCACTGTTGTGATCGTAGACCACCGGATACGGGCCTTCAGGCACTTCAATGGACGGCGGTTTCCCGGTGTATAGGAATGTGTTAGAGTGTCCGCCGACCACAACATCTAACTCCGGTATCTTTTCAGCAATCTCTTTGTCCTTCTTATGTCCTGAATGGCCGACAGCTATGAAAATATTTAACTCGTTTTTGGGATAAATCTTTTTTAAGTTCTCGATTTCTTTCCTAATGCTATCGATTTCATCGTTGAATTTGACAGTATCTCCGGGTCGGGCCAGGAATGAGGTGTCGGGTGTGATATACCCAATGATGGCTATCTTTTTGCCTCCTCTCTCCACAACAATTGACGGTTTAATTAGTTGTCGTAATTCCCCGGAGGTCTCAATGTTGGCGCAAACTATCGGCAAATTTTTCTCATTATTTTGTGTGACATTCCGTACGAAAGGCAACAGTCCTTCAACGCCGTCGTCAAACTCATGATTGCCTAAAGCCATTACGTCGTGTCTGAGAAATTTGGCAAACTTTGCCACGACTTCCCATTTCAGTAACGTATACCAAATGGTGCCCTGAAAGTGGTCGCCGGCGTTCAGGAATAGCACGTTATCGCCATTTCCCGCCTCTGGTTGTAATAGCATTTCGTTTACCTTTGCGTGAATGAGAAAAATAGTCAATATATTTTTAACCACAATTCAGATATGAATAATGTGGTTTATAGGATCGTTAGGCCCCCTCCCCTTTCCCCCACTCCGGCCCCACCCTATGGGATTTAACATAGGATTCCAGCTTAAGTCTATGGCTATACTTTAACATGGGATTCTTGAGTCTATGGGGAATTAACATGGGATTATAGCTTAAGTCTATGGCTATAGTTTAACATGGGTATAGCTAATTCTATGGCAATGCTAATCCTATGGACAATGTTAAGTTTATGGCATAGGAATAACATGGGTAATGCTATATCTATGGCATAGGGATACCATGGGCAATGCTAAGTCTATGACATAGAAATAACATAAGAATAAGTCTATGGACAATGATAAGTCTATGTAAATAGAACTAATTCTAGTAAAAAACATTTAAAATTATCAAAATAACAATAGTGAAAGTATTCCAACAATCGTATTGAAAATTTTAAAATCTTTAGATGCAAAAAGATTTGCAAAAAATGAAAGCATTAATTTTAGCAAACAATTTATAACAATATAAATAATTTGCTCTAAATATCACATTAAAAATAAAAGCAAAGAAAAAGAGTTGTCTTTATATTTAAATATAAAACAACTCACACAGCAATGCTATACGTTAACCACAATTCGGGTATTATTCACACACAGCGATGCTATACGTTAACCACAATTGGAGTATTACTCACACACAGCGATGCTATACGTTAACCACAATTGGGGTATTACTCACACACAGCGATGCTATACGTTAACCACAATTTGGGTATTACTCAAAGGGTAAATAGTATTTAGACATTGCACTTAAGAATTGTATTATCTGAAATTAATTTTTTAAACATTGTTAAATATTCATCAATTCAAATTTACATTGTTATTTTAGCTAATTGTTTTTATTTTGATAATTTTCTAATGTTATTGTTGATATGTTGTTATGTCGTAGACTTAAGCTGTAGTTTCATAGAAACCCATGTTAAAGCATTTCCCCATAAATTTAACATTAGTCCCATAGGATAAACTTGGAAGAAAACTACTTTTTTCTTTAATATTTCGCTTTCCCATAGAAACTAATCTCCCCATAGGATTAGCATTACCCATGTTAAGTCTATGCCATAGGATTAACATGCAATCCCATGTTAAATCCCATAGGGTGGGGGTCGGGGGTAGGGGGCAGAACGATCCTATAAATCATTACTTATATCTGAATTGTGGATAAAAAGTTGTTTAAAGTATGTTTTATTTATAAATTTCATTGACATATACTTTGGCGACCGTTCGTGCGATACCACCGAAACATTGCTGTTCACCGCTCTTACACTCAGCACTCCATTCGTTCATTGGCTCGAAATGTGTGTGAAAATCATTATTATGTAAAATAGTTATGTTTAGTGTACGACAAATCACAGCTAATCGCAGCCAAATTAACCAATGTGTATAAACACTGGCCAGTGATATATTAAACAATTTCACAATTTTCATTGTAATGATTGTGAGTTTTCATATGAATATTATGTATAATTTTTTTGGTAATTATTTCTACACACAAACTAATATTATTTGTTTTCTCTCGCCGTAAACGAGTGATGAAATGAGAGTGAAAATAGTTTTTTTTGTCAAACAACAATATGAGTATAGTTTTAAATCATAAATATAACTTATACTTTGTTTGAGAATTAATAATTTTAGTTATTTCATCATAACACGATTTATATTTAATTATAAATTGCTACCATATTATGCAATATATGAACAAATTGTTGTAACAATAACATACTTTATAACAACTCTTATAACTTCTTGTAATTCGAACGAACACTTGATTTGGGTTATTATTATAAATACAATATTAGTTGATAAGCTCTTAGCAATGATGATACTCCTACTAACTGTCTGAATAATTATTACTCTGTTTAACAAATTGCTATAAAATGGTTCATAATTATGGTTTATAGTTAATAATGAATATTGACTTTAACTGTATCTGTAATCATACAATGACTTTGTATTTATAATATTACAAAATATAGAATATTAAATATTATACGACAGAAAACGTTCTGCGTCAAAAAATAAATTTATATATGAACTGTATTATAAATATGTTTTCGCATATGCTATTCTAATAATGTTTATACAAACTTTTATATACTTTATATCAATACAATTCAATGTGAAATTATTATTAACATATTATTTTATTCTAGTTCGCAATCCCATTAATGTTAACGTTATTAAAAAAAAAGTATAAAAAGTTTTACATAATATAATATCCATTTTCCATGATGGTGCACTTTCTATAAAGTAAACCATTTTAAATTTAGTATTTCATATACGTTTACAAATTATAAAATTAATGAAGTATGATAATTGATAATATACAATTGCAAAAATGCAAACAATTTATTGAATCTACATACAGTATATTAAACTAATAAATTAGTTCAAAGTCTACATAATGTTAATCTGTCTACATTTAATTAACTAATAAATTTTTCAGATTTTGTACAATTGTAATCTATATAAAAGTATGTTTGTCAAGAGCAAAGCCTCGCAAAGCGGGTAAGTGTGGGCAAATAAAAGTAAACTGTAATGTATTGTCTATGGGAGGATAGAGGCAAAACCTAACTTTTGCGACGTCTTGGTCAAGAGTCTATAAAACGTGTGTAAAAATTATGATAAATATTAAACAAATTTGTCCAATGGATACATAATATGGATGCCCCGCACAAAGCTTACACCACAAAATATAACACCAAATATGTATAAATAAATATAATTGTATAACAATAACATAAAGGAGTTTGGGCATCTGTGGGATAGCGGGCAATCGGGATTTGTCTCTCTGTTTCTCTGTGGAGTAGAGGTCAAAATGCATAGACTGAACTCGTGCATCACTAGAGGGTCTGAGATCGAGACTGGTTCAAGCCATGAATCGATTTATTTCCCTACCAAATGCATTATGTGATCACTTCATACACAGATGAGTGGGTGTGTGTTTTTTAATCAAGATCTGTTTTTCATCGCACCTGGATAGTGATTCACAGACAGCGCACAATACAATAGTCTAATCTACACATCAAACCTGAGAAGAGTCACCCTCTCATTCAACCACAACTACAGTCCATCTTTAAACAGTCTACGAAAATCCACTCCAAAGTTGCATTTAATATGCTATGAATACTCGATGTATCATAAAATTAGGACCAATCATTATGTTATGTAAGGCCTTATATCACAAGTAAATAACACAAGTATAACACTTAGTGAATAATTGCCGCTATTATAGGCGATGTTGTAATGCCATAATCGAGTGTACATTTAAATGGCGCTCTCCATTAAAAGTACATTAGTACTCAAAGTTTAACTTAATGTAACTTAAAACCAAATTACTGATCTCATTGATAGTAATGAGAGTTAATGAGTGTAAATGATTTACACTATTTTTAATGATTAATCAAAATGCCAAAATTAATTTAATGTTTTTGCGGACTAAACATAAAATACTCTTAAATTAGTCGTTAAACAAATAGAGTTAATGTTTTTACGTTTACAATAATAATCTGAAAATAATTTCAGATACAGGGTGGAGATTAAGTATGTCTTTTTTTAAAAACGTAATAACTCGTAAACTATAAGACATAATTTATTCAATTCTTTTGCAACACATACACAAAAATATGGCATGATTGAATCAGGTTTCCAAAAATTTTAGCCAACCATGACAGTCACGTGACGGAACGATTTTCAAAACTGGGCACTTGGCCGGCAATTATGTAATATTTCAGAGGTCAATATTACGATAAATGAAAACACGGTGCGCATACATCCCATACATTCCGTTAAATAGCTGTTTAAATTATTTTTCA